AACGCACCCCCTTGCGAAGACGAAGCCTGCCAGATCTGCGCCTTCACAAAACTCACCCAAGACTCCGTTGTCAGAAACACATCGGTACAGGATATACTGCGTGGTGATGAGCGCCTACCCTTCACCAGCCGCACTGCCTGGTTAGCCATTCAGGCCGAATGTGCCGATCTGCGGCGTACTCGCGCCCACTTACAACAAGGGACACGCCCTTCGAAGAAACTTACCAACATAAAAGATGTTAAACGATACCTGAACGTCGCTACCATTGCAAACGATGGCTTGCTCGTTGTCCGGCGTGATGAACCCCTTGTACCTAGCCGCGAGTGCATCATTGTCCCTCGACAAGTGCTTGATGGACTGCTGACAGCCCTACACATACAGCTCACCCATCCGTCGAGCCATCAACTCCAGGCTGTAACCAACCGGTACCTATATGCCTTAGACATACACAAGGCCATCGACCGCGTGACCCAAGCTTGCCACATCTGTGCCTCTCTACGCCAAACTCCGAAAATGCGCGTGGAGCAGTCGTCCTGCCCCCCTCCCGACGCAGTTGGCGTATCATTTGCCGCAGATGTCATCAAACGCTCAAGACAACTTGTGCTTGTACTACGTGAGTGCGTGACATCGCTTACAGCCACAACCCTGCTGGAAGACGAGCGTCACAACACTCTGCGCGACGCTCTTATCCGTCTTTGTGTCCAACTACGTCCACTAGATGGACCAACAGCCGTCATACGTACCGACCCAGCCCCAGGATTCAAAGCACTCAGGGATGATCAACTACTGAAACACCACAGGATCACCCTTGAGATCGGCGACGCCAAAAACAGAAACAAGAACCCTATTGCAGAGCGGGCAGTACAGGAGGTCGAAAGCGAACTACTCCGCCATGATCCACTAGGCGGTCCAGTAAACCACGTGCAACTCGCCGTGGTCACAGCCAATCTAAACGCGCGCCTTCGCTCACGTGGTCTTTCCGCAAGAGAGATGTGGACCCAACGTGATCAGTTCACAAACCAGCAGATCCCCCTACAAGACCAGGACATCATCCTACGACAACATACACAACGGTTGTCTAACCACCCCCACAGTGAGAAGTCAAAGACACCTATCCCAAAGAGCACCCCCACTGACCGCGTTGCTGTAGGTGATTTAGTCTACCTCTATGCCGATCGGAACAAGACCAGAGCCCGCGATCGCTACCTTGTCGTAGAAATAACCGGCTCGTTCTGCAACGTCAAGAAATTTGTTGGCTCCCAACTCCGCAGCACGTCTTACCGAGTGAAGATGTCTGAGTGCTATCGAGTCCCATCCGAAGTCGTGAACCACAGACCACCTGCTCCCAATAGGGATGCAGACTCATCATCTGACGAAACTCCACCAACACAGCCAGAACCACCACCTCCGCCAATCATTCCGTGCGCGATCTCGACACCTTCTACCCAGGAATTCCCTCACCTTGATGACTTCCCTACCAGCCACGATGAGTCTCACGATACCGTGACCGTGACCCACCCTGATGAAACCAGAGACCCCTATGCTAGCGACAGCGAATCAGATGCCACCCCCCCTCCTCGCCGATCCACACGTGAGCGACGCCGACCCGCACGTTTTGAGGACTTTGATATGGATTAATTAGCCAGTGGTCCTCGTGACCCACACTAGAAACTGTTCAAGTTTTATTGTTATTCATGTTAGCCGTTTACATGTACCTAAATTTTTCTATAACCATTGAGCTCATACCATATTTGTAAGAGTAAAGAAAGGAAAAAGAGGCCACGCCAGTACCGGTCAGCGGTACTGTAGATAAGGACACGCGCCCTAGACGCTCTCGTGTCTCGCTCTTGAGTTTGTTCTGTATTTCGCTGTTGTGCCTACAGTAGCATTAAAGTAGCAGTTGCTTTACCTGAACCGTGTCATCGATCGACCGACTCTCTCTTTACTGGCGTTGTTTCTATTCTTAACTACGATTGACAGATGTTTTAAGGATGGAATTGTGGCATAGGGATAGTTACAGACTGAATGCTGTTATTTTTCAGCCATAAATTTCATTTGAAAATGGCTGAAACTAACTACGTTCGCAGCTGGCGCCGAGCAAGTGTACGCACACGGTGTGTAAAGTTCCAATTGACCGACAAGTTTGTTATGAGAACTGTTTCGCTCAAGTAATATCCTAGATTAACCCTGCTATATTGTTCGTAAAGCAGTATGTTAATTTCGCTCATCTTTTAATGTTGAAATAAAACTACTATATTAACTTCAATTAATTAAAAACTACAAATCATAAAAGAGTAAAAACTAGATTAAAAATAGAAACAGTACAAGAACAATTAAAAACTATTTAAAACTTATTAAAAACTGTTAAAATGCATGTTTGAGCTTATATTTGAAATAATAAAATATAGAAATGTCACGTATATCCTGACTTAAAGAGTTCCAGTCTACGACGCTCTGATACATAAAACGTTGTTTGCCCCAGTTTAATTGTTCTTACACGAGTTAGGTGAATATCGTCTTTGGAACGCGTGATGTTGTAATTGTGAATTGTGTTATTTCTAACAAAATGAAAATTAAAATAACAAAATAAAAATTGTTGTCCCTTTCGTAAACGGTCTCTGCCCCTTTCTAAATGTAACCACACGCGATGACGTTCTTAGGGGTTCGTAGGGCAGGAACGCGTGACGAACCCCTAAGAACGTCTGCATGGGAGGCTATTCTCAATGAGCTCGTGTTGTTTTGTTTGCACTATTGAAGAAGCCGTTTGGTACAGTCTGGTCGTCAGTATAAAGGGTTAAATCAGTAGTTGCTTTCAACCTTGATTCGTATTCTTTTGTTTTCAGGTCGTAACGGGTATGGATTCCATGGTAAAAAATGAAGTTATAACCAACATTTCAATAAGACATCAATGTTTAACTGTGATGGATTTTTACGCCAACAAGAGTATTGAAGTAAGCTGGATATCTTTAAAGCGAGCCTTTCCAAATAGCCAAAATATCTTTCGTCTTGTAGTTAGAGTTTAAGGCTATATTTTATATTTAATTCATTGGAAAGATAGTTCTTACTTTGCCTCCTCTGCTCTTGATTATTGTGCCAGGAATTCCGTTTAGAAGACTACATTAATTCAAATCTGGCTATTGGAAAAGAAGTTAGTGATTTAATTCAACCTTCTTCCCACTCCTCGTCCTCCTCCTCGTCTTCCTCGTCTTTCTCTTCGTCAGCGTCGTTGTCATCAACACCATTACCATCATTTCCAGTAGCTCTAGAATCATTAGAGATGTTACCCCGTTCTTCGTCTATGCAGCGCAGTAGCTTCAGTACCAACATCTTTTCAGGTGGGATAAAACTGTTTTCTTAACAATACTAAATTTAGGCAACAGAGTATTTCCGAAATCAACTTTAAGAGCTTGCCATGCTAAAATAATTGTTTGTTTTCGTTTCTGGATACTAGAAGGGTTTTAATGGCTGTAAGTGATAAAATATTAGACATGAATCCTGTAATGTAACAACTATTAATGTCTTCTAAAGTTTGTCCATTGACCAACTGCATTTAGTAACCGCATGAATTCAGTTACCCCTTGCCTGAGAACTGTATAGCAGGACTCGATGCCGTGTGGGTAAAAGTATGAGGAACTTATAAGCAACCCCTATTAAGTGACAATTTGATCATACAACGTACTTCTTGTTTTTGGACTCATCAAGTGAGTTGAGAAGTTAATTAGCAGCCTTAGGGAGATTGAAAAGTTGACATTTTAAGCGCTGGACCTTTGTCAGGACGAGTTTGTCTTAAAATTTGGAAAGAAAGCTTACTATCAAAGAAAAGTAGGGGTCACCGACCAGTGAATGTATCTGCGGCTGTTCGCCTCCGACAAACCGGCGTACACCTTTACTGAAGTCAAAATCACATTTATCTGCGCCCGTTGATCTACGTTGAAACTCTTAATGTGATGGCTAAGTCAGTCTCAAACTAGCCTGTTCCTGGTGTTCAGAGCAGTTAGGACGCGCAAAAAAGTGAGCTTTTTTCCCTCCGCCCTCTATTTCGCGCCACTCCCCACCTTTCCTTACCCCAAAGTTTTTCAGCGCTTAATATGGTCAGTTGCCTCATGGGTGCTTGGGTGCTTGGGTGCTTGGGTGCTTGAGATTTCCTCTTTGTGTCTTGATGAACTGTTACGTACTCTTTAGCCTCCTATGCTTTCCTGAAAAATATCCCGTATTTCACCTTGTTGTTTTTATTTGCTGTATCTTTTGATGTAGTTTATTTATGATGTCCTTTTGTACCTTTGTAGGCTCTGTTGATTCGTCCAAGTTACTCAGGAGGGTGTCGAAAAAAACCCGGCGAACAGCTGCTGTGAAGCGATCAGTGTCAAATTTGTCGTCAAATAAGACGATTACTGGTAAGCAAAATATTAATTTTTTAACATCACGACAAAAATATTTAAAACGTGGCTGAAAAAAGCTTTTTGTTATTTTGTGCTGTTGACTTAACCTCGTGCAGGAAGCTGCTAAAATTGGGCCCAATCTCAGGTTATTATTCACTACATAAGTTGCATGATGACCCATTTAATTTTTAAGGCAAAAATTAACCCCTGATCAAGTTTTTCCTTCACAGGAAAAACAAAGACTGTTTAAAAACTTGCGCGTTAAATGAACTTCGAGGGATAACACCATCCTCGATCTCCATATGTCTTCAGTCCTCCAATAATGCCAAGTACTCCTGAGGATGCTTAAATGAGAATTCTTCACAAAATGGATTGAAGAGTTGCCACCTCTACTACTTTCTCTTGTTTAAACTCGGAAAGTTGTCTTTTAAAGGTCACGCATTTGTACTCGGCAAGGACACCAAGCATTTTTGTTTCTAGACGTTAACGTTGAGCTGGCCTTTTCTCATTTCAGCAAGGTCCACAACAGATGCTCCCTTTGTACTACCAAAAACTGCTTTACAAATAAGTTTCACCCCAAACGTGACAATTCCTCAAGCAACGTCGCCAAACACGTTGTTTACTTTCACACCAAACATTAGCTTTACTTCAGAATCAAATCCTGCTTTTGTGTTTACTGCAGCCCAGACCCATGCCACTGAGAGACAGAAACCAACAGCTCTGTCTATTTCAGAAGCCAAACAGCTTAGAGATGCGCTTCTCGGCAGCATTGTTAAATGTACGCAGATTCAGAACTCTCTCTACCGACTTCTGTTACTCAAGTTACAGGCGCATATTACAGGGCAATTTGATACTGGTGTGGAATATAGTGACACGTCAGCGAGTTTAGCGAAGACTTCCGGAATGGAAAAAGCAAAAGAGTGTGTATTAAAAGGTGCTCAACAGGCAAATGTTGATTCCAAGCTCACTAAAAGCACAAGAGTGTGTTTGGATAATATCACGAGTGAATGCGACACGTTGGGTGCAACAGGGGGGATGGATGATGCTTCAAAGATTTGTGACGTGAGGGGTATAGGCGATGGAAAGAACGACATTGCTGATACCTTGCGTGTGGATAAGACAGGAATGAATCCTTCTAAAGCTTCCAACACAGATGACATATTGTTTGAGAATCCTCATGGTTTAACACAGACTGCTGTTGTTGAGAACGCATTCGATGATGTTTGTAGTGATGCAGCTAGTGCGTCGAGCGTTTATAACAAGGAAGTAGCTGCTATTGATGCGTCAAAGGCTGCCAACACAGAGAACGCAGAAAAGAGCGTAAACGGTGCTCCCCTGACTCTGCTATGTGAACTGCAAGATCCTTTGAATGCCTTGATTCGCTGTGCCGACATTCAAAGAGAGCTTTTCCAAAGTGTGATGACTGTGAGCGAGTTGAACACCAAAGAAGCGAGTGATTTATCTGGTAAAGAATCATACCCACATGAAAATAAAGGTGGGAAACCGTATTCAGTTGAATAAGGATGTCCATGTTTTATACATTGTTGATAACCCGGCCTCCTTTCTAAAAAAGCCAAATTAGGAATAATAACGGAATCAGAGGAGAAATACTTTAATCAGTTGAAACAACTAATTATAAGTGACAACTATGAAGACAGCTATTTTCTAGTAGTGCATTCAGAGCACAAATTGGATCTTTCAAGTATGAGAATTTCGAATTAGCAAAATGAACTGATGATGCTCTGTATGAAAAAACCGATTCACCCTCTTGCCAAGCTAGTCCAGAAAGCAACGTGTTGTTTCTTTCACTGACAAGTTTTGATGACTTTGACTGTGTTGGGTTATGTACTAACCAGTTAACTGATCCAGATTATTTTGTCGCTCTGTTACCGTCAGATTTATACGCCAATAGAAAAGTTGATATGCGGGAAGTCCAATCTAAGCTCGAAGCCATCACCTTTAAAACCAAAATGGAATGCAGCTATGCCCGAGATCCTTTCAACAGTAAGCACCTAAAGCCATCAACTAGCGAGGACCTTTTGCAGCATATACCTCCACATAGACATGCGTCATTTCAAGTAGCAAATTCTTGTAGTCTACGAGAGTTTCCACATGGACGAGGAATTCTGAAAACTGCGACGGGCGAATTCATTTATTCTGGAGACTGGTTCAAAGGTAGAAAAGAATGTATTAAATTTTTACATTTCAGCTATCTCCCCCTATTCCTCATAAATGATCTTTTGTTTTAATAATTAGCCTTTCGGTACTTTGAAATGTTCCATTTTCAGTAAAAATTTCCATTCACGAAATTGGATGCAACTTGAAACGCAGTTGCGTTTTTGATAAGTTCCGTTTAGATTTACTAAGGAACCGACTTGAAGACTATTAAATGGTTCGGTTGAATGGTTCAAGACATCGCTACGATATTATAATTGCTCCTCTAAAGTTGATGGCCGCTGAACAGAAATTGTACATATACATGAATAAATAATAAAACGAAACTTAAAGTGGTTAAATTACTCCATTGTGCCAATTGTTTGATAAATTGGAAAGTGAATTTGTTTTGTTCAAATTTGATAACTACCTACGAAGACGTGGAAAATGTTTTGTGGCTTCTCTACTGAGTTATCCAGATTGGTAATAAGAGAGATTGCATTGTAGTGTGATGATTTCCTTTCATTTTGAACAGTCAGTAGAGTATACCTGGAAGTTCCCCACCTACCTCTTCCCTAACAAAACATTTTGTTCCTCTTTGTATTCAGGCAAGAGACATGGCAAGGGTGAAGGGCTCATTTTCCCTACTTCCGGATCTAACCATTCGGCGGCTGAACAAGGATTTTACATTGGTGGATGGAAACACAACATGAGGTGTAGTTTATTCAGACACCTCACCTGCTAATGATGATAATAATATTATTATTTACTATTCCGCTTGTCTTGGAGTACTAGTAAAGCAGCTTTTGTCAGGGACAGTTTTTGAGTGATACAACTTTAAAAGCCTTTTTCCACGTTAATGGAAACCCTTTTTCTTACGTGTTTCGTTAGTTTACTTTTAAAACTCATCTGGTAGCTTTTTTAATATTTCTTGTAAACCCTGTCCCATTTTAACCCTCCTAGAAATGACTGAAAGTCGATAATTGTTGAGAGGTGATTAATGCGTTTTTAGGGGGGGCCTTCTTCAATGTTTACGCTCCTAACGCAAGAAACTCTTCCAAGTCTCAATCTACAAACTCATCATGTGAATAGCACTGAGATTTTCAAGGTGATAAAAGGACTTTTGTTTGTCAGCCATGATTTGAGTCTGAGGGTATAATATAAAAACAGTCATAGATTTTGCTTAATTTTTGGGCTTACTTCGAAAATTAGGCACGGCCATGGGCAAATGATTTTCTGCTCCGATGCTGTGTATGAAGGACAGTGGCAATTTGACAAAATGACTGGATATGGTACCTTAAAGCTCCCGGATGGAACCATTCAGGAAGGGACTTGGAAGGAAGGTTCCTTACAGGGCTGCGCTCTTTTCACCTGGCCACATGGTGTCACTGAGTACCGGGAGTATGATGCAATCCGAGGTAAAGCTTTTCTCTAAATACACCTACTTGTTCTAATTACCATAAAGTTGTACAAAAAGCAAAAAACCCAAAATCAAAACAGAAAATGCTCAAGGAATAAATTGGCCATGCAAGTTATATTTTAATTTTCTGTTAATCCTGATTTTTTTTTTATCCTGAAAGCAGTTTAACATTACTTGAGTTGAGAGAGTGTAGCTGGCCACATTAAAGTGTTTCCAGGGTGCTAGCGTTCCTATATATATAATTCATTCTTTCCTACAGGAATTTGTAGCTTTGCTTTATCGCGATTGTCTACGCATTTTAGCAATGAGCCTTCATGTGAGCTAAGGCAATAGTTCTATTACGTTTTTTGTTTAAATATGTAGGCTTCGGCAAAACATCTCGTTAAGACAATGGGTAATAGAGTAACGTGCAATGTTGAAGAATTGTAATCAATTCTAAAAGATTACTATAAGTAAATCTCCAAACGTGCAGTACAAAGTAACTCATGAACCTACCCCTGAAGTCTACGTTCCTTTGTGACAGTCTGTAGTGATTGTGATCTATATAATTCTTTTTATTAACAGGTCAGTTGAGTTCCTGCAAACTTGATCAAGAGTTTGCAGAGGAGCTGACGCAAATGAGTTGTATCCGTTCCCAGCTGCTAAACTTACGCGACTGTGCTGTCACGCTTAAAGATGAAAAGATTTCTCTCACAGAACAGGTGAATAACCTGAAAATGGAACACGCTGAGTTGGTTGGCAAGCTACAAGACTTTGGTTTAGAAATTTATCGAAAGTATGAGCAACAGTGGAAGCGGGATAGTCAGAAACAACGAGACGAATTCGAAAAAATGTTGAAAGATGCAGAATCCAAAGCTACTGCAGAGAATGATACGCTGAAAAAGGAGCTGGAAGAAAGCAAGGCTGCACTGCTATGCCAGATTTGCTTTGTGAGAAAACGTGACTGCATTATTTTACCTTGTTCCCATCTCTTGTACTGCAGACAATGTGTGCATGAGCATAAAAGTAGTGGTAATTCCCGCTGCCCTACGTGCCGTGGGCCTATTAACAGTGAAATTCTGTGTAATGTCAATCATTCTCCATGAGAATTATTGAGTTAAAAGTGGAGACGTAAAAGTGCGTCCAATCTGAAAAACATTTTAATGTTGATGCTGTTGTCAATGGCTATACAGTTGAATCACTAGAATCTAGAATCGGGTCATGTGTCGGTCGTTTGAGACCAAGAAAACTAGGACTCGATTTCGAGCTTACTATATTAACAGGTAATCCCATCAACGTACGGCAGATCAGTCTTACACTTGTTATTCCGTTGTCTTGTCCTCTTTTTAGTATGAAAATCAGGAAATTTTTAATAACTGTTTTAATGATTTGAATTTAACCATAGTTCGCACCTCAAATTTGATAAGAAAGAGGATTGAGAGACTGATGAATTCCTTCACGCATAAGATTGTAAAGATATGTATCAATTTCACTAGAGTAGATATCAGGGAGCGACAAAATCACAGTCTAGCCTAGAGTAGGCTAGAGTCATCGGGCCAGCCTGTTCTAATAACGGGCAAGCATCATTTGGTTGGTGTGGGAGTTGCTCCGAAGGGCTAGTAATTTTATAAAAGAATTTCGTGATGGGCGCCGGATGGGAAATTTGTTCTAGTTTTAGTTTTAGTATTGAAATTATTACCCCTATTTATCCAAAAAATGCAGTACGCACGGAAGGATAGAAATTTAAGACGTAGGTATCGTGAAGGTATATACATTTATGCTTCCTGTATTACGCAATAAACGGAGCTGTATATCTGTTTTTGTTTTATTTGTTTTGTTTTGTTTTTCATTGAAATTGTTGGGAACGGTTTATCATTTGTATCTACGGCAGTTGCTACGAGAGCGATATCCACGAACGTATCCACTCTAGAACTATTTGAAAAATCGTTCGCTTTTGGACGGAAGCCGTAGATACATTGACGCAGCCTTGCAACATTGTTGAGAAATTGTTTCGAATGGATACAACATTTTGTTCCAGCTTTGCAACGCTGTGCTGCACTAAACATCGTCGTTGCGAATCGTCTCGTGTAACATCACCTTTAGGCTTTCCATGGATAATAGAAAGGTCTTTCTATTATCCATGGGCTTTCAAACTTAACCCATTCGCTCCTGGAGATTTTGCCGAAAAACGCGTTTTGAAGCTAGTCGAGTGGTCACTGTCGTGCTATAAAGAGCTAAAACTTACCACAAACCGGTTTACAGGTTGTACACTTCGCGGCCTTCTGATCCAGATGCAAAATATCAGCTGGCGAAGTTCGGGCATGCGCAGAAAGCAAAATTTCGAGTGACACAGCAGTCATGACTTTTACTTTTCTTTCTCTCCTCCCCTCTTTTTTCGCTTTTCTTGCCTCATTTTTTTTCTCTTGCTGGGCATTTAGTAGGCTTCATTTTGGTGGGAATAGGTTTTAGGAAAGCTTTTAAGATCTTAGGATTGGGTGAAAGGAAAGGTAGGTGAGCAATGGAACCAAATTTTCATGGAGATTCTCAGGTCAGTGTTACATGGTTTTTTGGCCTCTTTCTCCGGTGTCCTTGACTGAATTGTGCTCATTCTGGTATGGTTTGAAAGATCTCTTCACTCTGCACAAGTTAACGGACAAAGTTGTCCTTGACCGTTAAAACTGATGACGTCACAAAGGGTAGAAAGGACGTGGATCCGCATGGGCGGTTACGGGCGGTTCAGGGGCGAATGGGTTAAACGGGTTCACCAGGAAGCGCGCGCGCTGACATGTTGCACGTGCGCTAAATTCACCAATCAGCGAAGAGCATTGACCCTAACTAGCAACATTATGACATCAGGTTTTCTAGCAGTTCTTTGTATGTTAAGCGCGGTTGTGGTTCTAACGGAATCGGCAAGGCATAGAGTTTCACCTATACCACGGTCGCAGGTAACTCTCTTTTCAGCCATCTGTTTTCTTTTTATCGGCGCTGGTTCCATGCCCATAGGCCGACTGACTGAGGTAAGAAAGAGACTTGAGCGTCCATTCAAAGACATCTAAATAATACTGAGCAAATGATATGACGCCATGCTTTGCTTTTTAAAACAGACGAGTGCGATATGGAACATTGTAATTGGCAAACAGGAAGTTCGTGATTCCGGTGGGTTCGTTTCTATAAAAAAAGGTAACTTCTTTTGTTTCTGTCGGCCGATTTTACTTCCTGAACCAGAAAATTTTGAAGCTTACGATTGAAAATGTGTGTGAGATTCGTTATATTATCCTTTTTTTCAGTGGGGGAATTGCACAACGTTTTAGTAAAAACCATGCGAGAAAACTTTTATTTTAATATTTACAAACCACTCAAAAGTGATCTCCTGTAACAACAATGATTGATTGAATTACACACGTTCGTTAAGATTGTAAGTAATAAATTCACTTTTGCCCCTAGATTCAGCTGTTAATATTCCCGTTCCGCCAGCTACGAAGGAAATCACATTAAGAAATGATCAACCTCAACTACTGGTACCATCCAAACTTACTGTATCAGAGACAACAGAGCCGCCAACTCGAGAAATAGTCTCAGAAATCGAAGCGCTAAGTAATTCGGGCGTCTCTGCTGAAGACTTATTAAAAGATTTTCAACGCAAACTTTACGGCCATGCCACGCCGACTAAAATTGCCGCTTCAAATGTAAAACCTGTTTTGAAGAATCCTGGAGACTTGATCACCGTGGACGAAAACTTAATTCCCGAAAGAAGCCTGCTTGAAAATGGATCTGATTCCGAGTATGAATCTAAGAATCAAAATGAAAAGGCGAAGAAGACCATAGAGTACTCAGCAAACAAGGGTTCAGAGGTTCAACATAATATTCCATTGACCAGTGTGTTCACATTAAATACAGCGCCTTCACAAGGTAAGCGCTGAATAATTATTCTTAGTGTCGTTAGCTTAAGTATTAGGGACGACAGTAACGGCAACGGCAATGGGAATGTCACAAAAGGAATTATTATAGGTTTAGTATATATTACGTTCACATTTTCGACCGGTTGAAAATTCATGCGTTTAGGTGTTCTGTTCACACGGAATCATCTTTTCGTACGAAAATCTGGACGCCTAGCCGTTCAAAGTTCCGTGTAAACAGAGCGAAAATATTGAAATTTTTACTTGAGATTTGCCTTAAATTGCTATATTTTAAATGAATATTTTATAGTTGAAAAAGTCGTCCCATCAATTTCGCTACAATCGAAGATAGACCTCCTAACAGCAAAGCCTCCATCTTACGACAAACGTGAAACTCTTACAGATCTGAATCCCGGACAGGAGGATTGGAAATTACCTTCTTCTGACTTGATTAGCAAGAATTTGCCAGAACTGAGAGAATCACAGAATTTGAATAACCCCCTGTTAGGAATGGCAGAAGAAATCAGACTTCATAACGTCATGGAAAAAGCACAGAATATGCCTCTGGAATATGATGCCTCAAGAGCCCACCGTAGGCAGAACCGGAATGACCAAATCATCTTAAATGAGGATTACATGAAACCAACTTCCCGGGCTAGAGAGAACTGGAATGACCAAGGCAGTAACATCGTAAATGAGGACTACATAAAACCGACTGTCCACCTTAAAGAGGACTGGAATGGCCAAAGCAGTAACATCGTAAATGAGGATTACATGAAACCGACTGCCGGCCTTAGAGAGAATTGGAATGACCAAGGCAATGACATCGTTATCGTAAATGACGATTACGTGAAACCCGCTGCGATCGAAGAGAGATTAGAGAAAATTTCGATGGAAATCAATGCTTTACCTCGTTCACCTCCGGCTAAGGATGTGAGTGATAAAGAAAAAGTCAAGCCAAGTTTCTTCCCTCAAATCAGTCAACCCCCGTGCAAACAGCCTTTCATGCCTTAGAATGTGGCAGAATTTTCCTCAACTGTGAACGTATATTTCTTCTTTATTTTGTCTGTATTTCTTTTTGTTGAGACAACATTCAAGTTCAGCGTTCCAGCTCCCAATTTATGCCCTAGCACCCGCCGTACATTGGCATCTTCGGAGACCCAGGGGCAGTCAGTTGGGTCGGGAGAAAAAGCGGAATTTATGCGTACATTGGCTGAAAGTTTATTAAATAGTTCCAGATTAAGGTTAATTTCTTTTAAAAATCCAAAATGCTAATGCGTTACAGAAATGGCGAGCTTTTCCAAAAGTAAATGTCTCTGTAAATTTAAGTCCAGGCCAACCGAAAGTAAACGGAAGAAAAGATCGCATTCTCTTCCTGACACATCTGATTATACGTGTCTCAGATTTTTGACCAGTGTGTTTGTCAGATGAAGTTAGGGATAATAAGTTGTTAGCATTACCTGTGGAAAAAAATACTCAAAACGAAAAAGAAATGAAAACTCGCAGAGCTATGTACGGCCTAGCCTGCGAACAGCAGACGCATTTCCGGTCGTCGCTTCTCTCCCTCCGAAAAATAGCTATTTTTCGGAGGGAGAGAAGCGACGACCGGAAATGCGTCTTCTGTTCGCAGACTATGTACGGCCTGGAAGGGTATGGTTTTGACCTCTGTTTGCCTGAACTTGGGAACCAGTGTAAAGTTTAAAGGGCTGATGATGATGACGACGACGACGATGAAGTTTAACATGGAAACCATACGCTGAAAGGTGTCCGAGCACAAGATGAAGCACGGCAAAGAGCAACTTTAACGGTTCTTACTACATTTACACAAACCACCCGGGTAGAAATCTTGTAAATAAAAATGAAAATATAAAATTTGACATAGTGGGAGTATGAAGTACATAATCACAGCAAACAATGTTTAAATATCACCAAAGTTGGCGAAAATAAGAGAAAATAGCTTTCAATAAGTTCTTGTTAAGCACTGTCTAAACTCAGTTTTAATCAACGTTCGTGATTCGGCAACCATCGCTAAACTTGATACACTTATCACTCGGAAAGTAAAACCAACCAGTATTTTATTCAAATATAACACAGTTATGTTCTGTTTTAAATATTACCGTGATTGACTTCACTTAAAGCTTCGTTATGTGTTGATTAATATTAAAACACCCAATCCCAGGAAATCCCCGAAGGCGTCAGCTTTATAATTACTACACGTCTTTCATTCTCATCTGCTCTACAAACTTTACTGGCGCTACCCACTTCTTCTTACAGGCTAAATAATAAATTTTTAAAAACTCTGGTTAACTACTCTTGGTTTGCAACCACGTGACAAGGCGGCCATATTGGTGGTCAATACAACAGAATTTTTTCTCGAAGAATTTGCATGAAAATGACATTTAGTTCCCAGCGGAGAGAAATGCTTTTGTTCTTGATTACCAACATGGCCGCCGCGACATCAAGTGCAAACCAGCACGAGCAATAAGATCAGATCTACTGCAAGTCCGACCAGAGTTAGCCAGTGAGGAGTAGCCTCCCCCGCTGGCGTTTTTAGGGGAGATCGATCTCCCCTAAAAACGCCTGCGGGGGAGGCTAGTAAGGAGAGGATACCAATGGCATTTTGCACATGAATGTTTTTCATTCCAATAAGCAGCATGTTCAGCCCCTGGTTCTTTCTTGTCGCACGAGGTCTTAATAAAGGGACACAGCCAGCTGATGGATATGAGCATTACATATCATTTCTTAGCTGATTTACATATCACAAGATATGCGATTCATACTGTTTTTAATCAATATAGGATGAGTAAAGAAATACTAAGGAATAGGTTTTCAGTATCAAAATTATCAAAGATCGAATGAAACTCTAGGGAAGATTGAAACAGATTTCTAGATGTACATGTATTCAAATACGTATTTGATTTCAGGTTGAGATAATATGCAAGACTGGTGTCCAGGTCAGCACGGTTGCAAAGCTGACTGTGTCCCTTTAAATTAGCCTGCCTCCCTTGGAAGAAGAAGGCGCATTTTCAGAAGATTTCTCGGAAAATTCAATGAATGCTTAAAACAGCAGGGTCGAGAATTCGAACCTTAGAATATGCATTCAGTATTTAGGACACCATTCTAAGACTACATGCCAAAAATCAGCCAAATCGATGAGGTACCGTGTCAGGCCGAAGTTCGAATTTTATAGAAAATCACTCTTAAGAAGCACCAAGAGCTGAAAATTTTGAAACCGAGGGTTGAAAATGCGCGTGAGATTCGTTATATTATTGTTTTTTTTGGTGGGGGAATTGCACTTTTTTGTTCACTTAATAAAAACCATGCAAGAATACTTTTTTTAAATATTTACAAAGCACTTAAAAGTTATCTCCTGTAAGAACAATGATTGATTGAATTACACACGTTCGTTAAAATAGTTAAATTCACTTTTGCCCCTAGATTCAGCCGTTAATATTCCCGTTCCGCCAGCTACGAAGGAAATCACATTGAGAAAATAATGATCAGCCGCAACACTGGCCCCATTTAAACTTACTGTATCAGAGACAACAGAGCCGCCAACTCGAGAAATAGTCTCAGAAATCGAAGCGCTAAGTAATTCGGGCCTTAAAAGATTTTCAAAGCAAACTTTACGGCGATGCCACGCCGACTAAAATTGCCACTTCAAATGTAAAACCTGTTTTGAAGAATCCTGGAGACTTGAACACGGACAAAAACATAATTCCCGAAAGAAACCTGCTTGAAAATGGATCTGATTCCGAGTATGAATCTAAGAATCAAAATGAAAAGGCAAAGAAGACCATAGAGTACTCAGCAAACAAGGCTTCGGATGTTCAACATAATATTCCATTGACCAGTGTGTTCACATTAAATACAACGCTTTTTCACAAGGTAAGCGCTGAATAATTATTCTCTTAGTGTCGTTAGCTTAAGTATTAGGGACCTTACGAAACTACGACGGTAACGGCAACGGCAATGGAAATGGCACAAAAGCAATAAGGTTTAGTATACGTTCCTATTTTCGACCGGTTGAAAATTTATGTGTTTCGGTGTTCTGTTCACACGGAATCACCTTTTCGTACGATAATCTGGACGCCTAGCCGTTCAAAGTTCCGTGTAAACAGAGCGAAAATATTAAAACTGTTACTTGAGATTTGCCTTAAATTGCTATATTTTAAATGACTATTTTATAGTTGAAAAAGTCGTCCCATCAATTTCGCTACAATCGAAGATAGACCTCCTAACAGCAAAGCCTCCATCTTACAACAAACCTGAAACTCTTACAGATCTGAATCCTGAACAGGAGGATTGGAAATTACCTTCTTCTGACTTGATTAGCAAGAATTTGCCAGAACTGAGAGAATCACAGAATTTAAATAAACCCTCGTTAGGAATGGCAGAAGAAATCAGACTTCATAACGTCATGGAAAAAGCACAGAATATGCCTCTGGAATATGATGCCTCAAGAACCCACCGTAGGCAGAACCGGAATGACCAAATCATCTTAAATGAGGATTACATGAAACCAACTTCCCGCCCTAGAGAGAACTGAAATGACCAAGGCAGTAACATCGTAAATGAGGACTACATAAAACCGGTTGTCCACCTTAGAGAGAACTGGAATGACCAAAGCAGCAACATCGTAAATGAGAATTACATGAAACCGACTTCCTACCCTAGAGAGAACTGGAATGACCAAGGCAATGACATCGATATCGTAAATGAAGATTACATGAAACCCGCTGCGATCGAAGAGAGATTAGAGAAAATTTCGATGGAAATCAATGCTTTACCTCGTTCACCTCCGGCTAAGGATGTGAGTGATAAAGAAAAATTAAAGTCAAGCCAAGTTTCTTCCCTCAAATCAGTCAGCCCCCGTACAAACCGCCTTTCATGTCTTAGAATGTGGCAGAATTTTCCTCAACTGTGAACGTTTGATAGCACTGCTCCAAAAAGATAAATATTATTTTCTTCTTTATTTTGCCTTTATTTCTTTTTGTTGAGACATTCACTTCAGCGTTCCAGCTCCCAATTCTTGCCCAAGCACCGTACATTGGCTGAAAGCTTATTAAATACCGGTAGTTCCAGATACGGCTAATTTTTTTTAAAAATCCAAAATGTTAATGCGTTGCAGAAAGTAAATGTCTCTGTAAATTTAAGTCCAGGTCAGCCGAAAGTAAACGGAAGAAAAGATCGCATTCGCTTCCTGACACATCTGACTAAAACGTGTGTCAGATTTTTAACAAGTGCGTTTGTTCTTTTGTTATAGGCAGACGAAGTTAGGGATAATAAGTTATTAGCATTACCTGTGACAAAAAATACTTTAACTCAAAAACGAAAAAGAAATCAAAACTCGCAGCGCTATGTACGGCCTGGAAGGGTATGGTTTTGAACTTGGGTACCGGTGTAAATTTTAAAGGGCTGATGATAATAACGACGACGACGATGAAGTTTAACATGGAAACCATAGGCTGAAAGGTGTCGAAGCACTAACTAACGGCAAAGAGCAACTTTAAGGGATCTTAGTTACCACATTTACACAAACCATCCGGGTAGAAATCTTGTGAATAAACATGAAAATATAAAATTTGACATAGTGGGAGTATAAAGTATATAATCACAGCAAACAATGTTTAAATAATTATAACTAAAGTTGGCCAAAATAAGAGAAAATAGCTTTCAACAAGTTCTTCTTAAGCACTGTCTAAACTCAGTTTTAATCACCGTTCGTGATTCGGCAACCCTAGCTAAACTTGAAACATTTATCACTCGGAAAGTAAAACCAACCAGTGTTTTATTTAAATATAACACACTTATGTTCCGCTTTAAATATTACCGTGATTGACTTCACTTAAAGCTTCGTTATGTGTTGTGAAATAAAACTAAAACACCCAATCCCAGGAAATCCCCGAAGCCGTCAGCTTTATAATCACTACACGTCTTTTATTCTCATCTGCTCTACAAACTTTACTGGCGCTACCCACTTCTCCTAACAAGCTAAATAATAACTTTTAAAAACTCTGGTTAACTATTCTTGGTTTGCAACCACGTGACAAGGCGGCAATGTTGGTAGTCAATACAATAGGAATTTTTCTCGAAGAATTTCCGTGAAAATGGCATTTAGTTCCCAGCGGAGAGAAATGCTTTTGTTCTTGATTACCAACATGGCCGCCGTGACGTCACGTGCAAACCAGCACGAGCAATAAGATCAAGTCAGACCAGGGTTAGCTAGTAAGGAGAGGATCCCAATGGGATTTCACACATGAATGTTTTTCATCCCAATGAGCAGCATGTTCAGCCTCTGGTTCTTTCTTGTCTAACGAGGTCTTAATAAAGGGACACAGCCAGCTGATGGATATGAGCATTACATACCATTTCTTAGCTGATTTACATATCACAAGATACGCCTTTCATACTGTTTTTAATCAATATAGGATGAGTAAAGAAATACTAAGGAATAGGTTTTCAGTATCAAAATTATCAAAGATCGAATGAAACACTAGGGAAGATTGAAGCAGATTTCTAGATTTACATGTATTGAAATACGTATTTGATTTCAGGTTGAGATAATATGCAAGACTGGTGTCCAGGTCAGCACGGTCCCAAAGCTGACTGTGTCCCTTTAAATTAGCCTGCCTCCCTTGGAAGAAGAAGGCGCATTTTCAGAAGATTTCTCGGAAAATTCAATGAATGCTTAAAACAGCAGGGTTATTAAACCAATACTTCATGCTCAAAAAAATCTACTAAGTTAAGGTCAAGGATTGAGATAGATCTGCAACACATTTTGCCAGTTCCCTTTCCTATCTTTTAACAGTTACCCTAGTGTAAAATATTTCGTCACACATTTTAAAATTTTACACCACTAAGTAAATTAAAACTGTCCCATCCACAAATTGTCTTCGTTTACAAGTATAAAACAGTTACTCCCTCAAATAATCTGCATGTCAGAAGACTTTACAAGTAACCAAGTCCTCCTTTAATAAACTGGACAGCCTTGTAAAAAGCAAAACAAAGAAGCACACATTTTGTCTGATACATCAAAAGTTAAAATGCTGGTTAACCCCAAATCAGGCATTTTTATCACATATGAGAAGTCTTTTAGAGATACAAAGATAGCATGATTGCAAGCTAATATCAATGTAGTGCAGTTTAACCAAATTCAGTAGTTACGGACTGGACATCAAATTGAGTAAAATACAAAAATAAGGAAGGTTATTTCTTTTTTAAAATAAATATGGAAATGACTCCACAAATAAAAAAGGAAGACAAAGAAGGTACAGACAGACTTCATATCCCATCCCTGTGACTTTGAATTCTCTCTCTAAAGGACACATTTATTTGCCATGAAGCTGTGACTTTGTCATTAACCCTTTAAGTCCCAACAGTGATCAACATCAATTTTCTTCTGACGACATCCATACATTGGCAAAAAAAAAGGTTATGAGAGTTAATACAATGCTCACCAAAGAGAAAATGCTTTGATCTTTTATCAAATTCTCTCAACTAATTCTTACAGGAAATGTATAGAGATCAGTTTGGAGAATTTGTATGTGGAAATTGGGGCTTAAAGGGTTAAGCAATAATGTCACATTTGGCTACCTTAATCCTTCATGTGATAAAATAGCACACATATACAAAGTGGACTTGACTGCCGTGACATAGTTGCTTTTTATCTCCATCCATGTGAATTTTGAGTGTAGACATTGTTTTGTCACAAGAGTATACAAGCTCTAATTTGGCAATCCTGGCCACATGCGTTATTCAATTCATTATTAATGATTATTATAATAAAATTATGATACACAGCAAAATTCTCAAGAGGATGACAGTGTGCTGCATATTTAACTTGATGGATACACCTCCACACTTGGCCGGGTCTGTGGCCCGCCTCCCAGCCTAAATATAAATTTTAATAACATTAAAATGAGAGCAATATTCCGCGATCATGTCAAAGCTGTACAAGTCGAGCATAAAAAGGAAACATGACTGGCCAACCCAAAGAAAAACTTTTGGATGACCATGCAGTTAATTTAATATCAAACACCCAAAATGGAATGTTTGCTCGCTAAAGAAAGTAGAGTTACCTAGTTTAGTGGCCTTAAATCCCTTGAGTCTCCTATAGCTCAGTGGTAGAGCATCTGGACTGGTAATCAGAAGGTCATAGGTTTGTATCCTACTGGGAGTACTTGGAGTTTTTCTCTTTTGAGCCGCCTGTGTCACTGACTGACTGAATAACAACTTTCCCAAAATTTGAGATGGTTTTATTTCAGTTCATTGATATGGTAAAAATTGGATTAGAGGGCTAATAAAATCTTGATCATTCAAACCTCCTGGATGAAAAGAATTTAAACTGTATTTGGATTATATTTAAATGTAGCTTGAAAAATTTTAATGGAAACAAAGTTATAAACAAGAGGAGTTCCACAAAGAACATCCTTCTCCCCAGGAAAACAAAGACAAAAATCGAAGAGTCTTTGGCCCTGCAATTTAGATTCAACTCCTGCAATCTCTTATACAGCTTTGTAAATCAGAATTTAAAATATAAATAAAAAAGAACCACTTTTAAATGCAAAATTCTGATAACTACTATTGAAGTCCCATACTCACTTTGATCTAACTCGGACTATCTCTTTAATAATCATTTCATCATGAACATTAAAATCTCTTAATAATACCTTCTAGGTGTTCTACAGAAAAGCTTTTGAATAATATTGTTAAAATATTATCTGATAATCATTTTATTGTGATGCATTCGCCTTAAAACCTGCTATGATATTAGTTTTCAATAATTAAGAGCAGGTGTTAAGTTAATAGTTGAGCTTGCTTTAACTGGAAAAGTAAAAGTTGTTGTCTGAAATCAATAACAAAATGAAAACAAGATTTTCTCTAATCTAACTGTACTATACACTACGTATTACAATCCCCACCTATATTTGGTAAATCGTCCTAACTGAATCAGCTGGCAAACCTCATTGCTAAAGTGACAAGCAAAGAGAAGCATGTTCCTAGGTTGAACTCGCCATGCAAACCTCATAAACAGCATTGAATAGATGCAAAGAGCTGGCAAATAAAGACAAACAACAGTCAATCTCAAATTAATATGATAAAAACAACAACAACACAAAAAAAAACAGAAGTGATGTTTTGAAAGCCTGATAAGTCATGATAAGTTATTACTTTAACATCTGGTTTCAAAAATAGGTGTTCCATTCACTGTGCAATAAAAAACGTTTGTTTCAAACTATGTCGAGCAACCTTGGTGTGTAAATGGCTGTCAGAAAAATACAGCACGGTGCAAAGAAAGTCAGTTTTACAGCTGCCCTATGGGCAAGCAGTGGCTAGCATATACTAAGCCCTAGAGTCATTTTTACTGGCCCAAAAGAAATTTTGGAGCAAAATTAATTAATTTATCATTATTAATTGATTGATTTATTAATACATAGTAATAATAACTTTACTTTATCAGATCAGCTTGAAAAACAGCTTTCAAACTTCATGAATTTATTAAGTATTGGAATTTAAATAATAATTAATACTTGTCTTACAGTAATTCTGTAATTTGAATTCCCCCAAATACTTAGCTTGCCATTATTATAAAGCAAATTTATAAGAACAAAATTACTAGCCTGAACACAAAATTCACTAGCCCATGGCTATCAGACACGACTTGCTTTGCAAGCAGTACTGTTGGGAGACCCCTGTGATGGACTACATGTAACATCCTGTTCAGGGGAGAAGGATGGATTATTGCCTAATTACATGACCATCCTCACCTGTTGTCATTTTGCCACTGATGTATTCAGGATCCCTCTTCATGTCAGACATTGCGGCAAGAGGAAGACCCCAGTTGGCAACTACAATAAAGTAAAACACACAAATTTGTTTATAATACGTACTTGAAGTGTATGGCCAGCCTAGGCAGGGAACATAATGAGAAAACAGAAAAGATTGGTGTAAGGTTAATTGTTAGTGTGTACTGGAAACAGTGCTATGTTTGTAACTTTTGCAAAGAAATCTGACTGTTCTTCTGCAGCTTAACACACCAGTACTGCTAATATTTCATTATTCTTATTTAGTTTTAATTTAATTTAATCTGTTATTAACTACAAAAATACACAAGGGAGAAGCAGTGAAAGACTAGTAAGGAACATACATTCTAAGAACCATGCGTGCTAGTCCTGATCCTAATTTAAAAATAACTAACAAATTATGAGAAGAAAGAAAAAGAAAGATTTTGTCAGAAAAGAGGAACACATTGAATTTGTTAATTCTATTATATGACCAAAGGGCAGTAAGGTCCCATGCAAAGTGATCTTCCAGCCTTTCCATATCATGAGATAGAATCTCAATCAAACTTCAACTTACAGGTAAGTCTTGTTTAATTATACAGTTTATTATGATAAAAAATAAAATTTTATAATTGATAATACCACTACTGTAATAATAAACACTGTTTTAAGCTCTGGTCAAGTAACATGTGAGATTGTATTCTTGTGATACTCTCTGCAATGTTTTTGCAACTTGACAGGCTTAGGTCTTCAGTCCTAAGCTTCTTGAGTAACTCTTGAGAATTCTATGACAAAAATTAATTTGTAACAATGTTCCCTTAAAAAAATTGGTTCTTCTACTGAAAAAGAATGGAATATCAGTTTATTACTTAATCCCTTATAAATAGGTCAGACAAATGAGTCTACACTTAAGTCTGTAGATCTAACCCTTCAAGCCACTTGTAACCTAGGTCATGTAGGATAATAAACCCTTGTTGCACATTATTATTTTCTGAACTCTCTCTACTAGCCTTATCATAGAGACGGAATCAGGCCAGGGGGTGGTGGGGGTCTCCCATATAAAATCGATGGGGATGCTCTTTGTCTTGCTTAGGGGTGTTAATTACAGATTTCAGTCTCATTTAGGGTGTTTGGGATGGAAAGTCACTATATTTGCCCATTCAGATATCGCTTATAGTAATTTGTATAAAGAAATTTACAAAAAATGCTCTGCCACTGACCACACAGAAATCTCCCTTAGGGGTCAGTTCAAGCTTGAGCCACACCCACATCCCACATTGGTCTCCCTTAGGGGTTTAATTTGAATGTTCCAACAAGCATCCCTGTCACTTTTATATGGGAGTCCCCCCCCCTCCCGCCGGGACTCGACCGCAGGCTCAAGATTTCAGAGGCATAATTGAGGAGGGAATGCACAATAGCCATGCAGAGAGATCTCAGTGATATTGGTTGCTTATGTTGATGGTAAGAAAAATGAATCCTAGCATCTACAGTGTATCACCTTGCAATTATTCACAATCACCGACAGATCTTATAATGCAAAAGCACTCTTTCAGGGCTGTCTTGTCTTTAAGGGCCAAGGACCGGGTATTTCCCCTAGCTACTATGTACACGACCCCTGGCCACTTTGAGAGGAACCAAAATGAAAATACTACAACATATAGAACTTCACCTATAAACTGCATATACCTGGCAACTTGAAAGCTTAGTGACAGCCCTGCTATTTGCATTGCTGGCAATTAATGCCAAAATGCTTGAGTTAGACAAAGCACATGCCATATAATAAATAAGTTTTTTTTTTTGTTCTTTATTTTTATTAGGCTTCAAAATTAACTTTTTTATACAGGTACCAAGTGGCTTTTTTTCAGTTGCCAGATGGAAAATTCTAGTCACCAACAAGTGCCCCTAAACTTTTTGCTTAACGTAGAAACACACTTAAAACATCTTTAATACTTGTGAACAAATGCAAAAGTCAGACTGCCACATACAAAAAGGCATTATTATGTACATGTAGCTTAGACGTCTTAGCTGAAAAGGACTTTTCCTTAAATATATAGCTCTCTTAGTTTGAAGACTGAACATTATAACGCAACTACCTTTCTTATTACTTACGCACCGCAAAGCTAACCGCCATGTTGCTTGTACCAGGTCACTTCAGAACAAAATTGTTCGTACCAGTCTCCCACCTTTGGTGATTTCGTTTGCGTGTAAACAGTCAATGCTTTTTGTATTTTCTTACCCTGAATTGTTTTCTACGGAGATTAATAACTTTGACAAGACAAGGGGTATCTAAGTTTCTTCTGAAAATCAAATGCAATAATTGTTTTTCCATTTAAAACGAAAATGATTCCTCAAGTGCCGCGGTTCAAAACATTGACAAGGCACTGAAAGTTGGCTGCCTGCTAGCGACTAGCCTTGAAATTCTGGTCGCCAGCACTAAATTTTCAGTCACGTTGGCGACCATCTGATCACAATTTCGGACCCTGTTTATATAACTGTACTTTTATAGATTACATCTTCATGTGCGATTATACAAAAAAAAAAAACAAACAAAATTCTGCTTTAACTTAATGCATCAGTCAATTCCAGCTGCACCCATGCCCCCAACCCCCATGGGCTAACCTCTCCGGTAATGGCAATTTTTTTATCATGGGTGGCAAATTTCTGGAGGTTGGGACACTTGAGCTGCCAAATGTCTTGGGGTGGAGATGAATAAAGAAGGCAAATGTCCCATCTGCAGCAGATTTCATTGATTGCTGTGTCGAGTAGTGCATTTTAATGTGCAATTTTTTGTTTCACTTAACATCTGCCTGATGATACCACTTCATGATTCTTGTTTCTATTCTTATTTATCTTGTTTTAAATAGTTCATAAGTAAAAAGAAATTAACATTAAAATTAATAGTGTTTTGTACACTTATCTGTTCTGAATACTTAAATAATATGAAAGGAGGTTCCTCAGATAACATAATTATATGTTGCAATTAATTTTCTATTTTAGTTAATTTGTTTTTCCTTTGTTTTAAATTCATTAGAATACATTACCATACCCAAAAACAATGGAAAAATAAAAATTAACTGAAATAAACAAAATAACTACAGCATATACATTGTAGATCATAGTAGTATTAGAATCATATCCACTTAATCTTATTGAAATCCTGGATCAACAAAAATTTGATTGAGTAACCAAAACATACAGTACATTGATTCATGTCGATAGCTCTTGATTTTGCTACGTAAGTTCTGGCTTGAAAAGCAATGAAGAAATGCATGCATAAAGTCTCTAAAAGTTTTTCCCATCCTCATCTCATGCTCATCTGCTTGTGTTTCCAGTAACATCCACCACTTTCAGTTAAATTTGGATAGGAAACCACATGCCTGTTGAAAGCTCGAGAGATGCCTCAGGGTTGGCAAATGCCCAACCCCTGGGACTTACAATGTGGGCAAATGCCCTGCAGTAGCTGGGAAGGGGGGGGGGGGGAAGGATGCAGCTGGAATTGACTGATGCATAAATAAGGGGGACCCCTCCCCTGGATCCGCCACTGCATAATAGAGCCACACCTCAGATTTTGATTCTTGAACTCAACGAATTCTGATCTGCGTTCAGGAAACAAAATTTTTACTCAATTTGAGCCCTTTCAGATATTAGCTCTCTGAAGTTGCATGGGTCCAAGGCTTGTATGCTAAAGTAAACAGTATACATATCATGCAGCCAAACCTTGAATAGTATGCAATGGCTTTGAGACAATAGCAGTGTTTTTAGTTAACACTCTACTGATTCTCTCAAGAAGCCTTCAAAAGACAGACAGATTGTCGGCAAACTGAGCCCTGAATACTGCTGGTGGATACATCGGTCAACCAAATTATTAATGGGCAGTACATTTTTTATTTTTAGTTAACACTCTACTGATTCTCTCAAGAAGCCTTCAAAAGACAGACAGATTGTCGGCAAACTGAGCCCTGAATACTGCTGGTGGATACATCGGTCAACCAAATTATTAATGGGCAGTACATTTTTTAATTTATCTTAAATCTGTTGCCCAAAATTATTAGAAATATAATCATTGGAGCTGTTGAAGGTATTTTTTGAGTTACAGACGACCATTATGTTAACACTAGTGACCTGCCCTTACACTGAATACCGGTATTCCAATAAATATTACTTAAGCTTGCCATAAGTTTACTCTCAACTTTTTAATATATTTCAAAAGGTTTCACAACATGAAATAGTTATGGACATAACAAATAAGAACACCTTAAAATGGTACTTACTCGGTCCCCAGAAATGCTAGAGGATGTCCATAAAAGAAACAGAGTAACTGTTAGAGAAAAATTGTCATACGAATCCACTTGTCACAATCTAAGCTCATATTTGCCAACAAACAAGACGAAACTTACCGTGCTGAAAAATAAAGAGGAAAAACAATAAGAATTTAGTACGCCGGCAGATTTAGAAAAGCATGTTTATTCCTGAGGACTTATTTTACTTACCTGCATAGGTATTCCCTAAATTCTTTACTTTTTAACTGGTCTAACCCTCTTCTCAAAAATCTAGCCGCCATTTTCACCGGCACCGGTTCACTATTAAAGCGTTACGTGTCTGTCGCGGAAGTTTAGTATTTGATTCATTTATGTTAGCTTATAGTGTCCACATCAGTGATTAGTCTGTGCCAGTCCTTTTTACTTCGGCTCCCCAGTGTCTGAACGCCTGGAACAGGCTACAATCTGGAAAATTTGTACCTCACCTCCCCTCCCCGAATCAAGGATGGGAAAATGGCGCGTTTTGGCTTTTGCGCGGCTTCATCTTTGATTTTGGGGGGATGGGGGTTTGCTGTTCCATTTTACTCTGTCCAAGATTGTACTCCCTGGGCCCATAAAAAGATCCTTCGCGGAGGAAACATAAAAACTAAGAGTGCAGCCGTTGCTTTTTTTTTCCCTTCTATTCCTTTCTTTCTCCTCGCTCTTTCTATTTTCCCTTTCCTTGTTCTTTTCTAGGAGGATTTTTGGGCTCATTTTGCCTTCGGCTTTTGGTCTTTTTCTCAGTCAACAGACTGCAATTTTCGTTCGGTACGTTTTCTAAAATCCAGCAAGATAATGCTTTGGGTTCATGTTACGGTTACCTATACATTAATTTTAATTAACGTACCAACATCATATATCCTCAAATACACAAATTTCATTTTTTTTAAAGCTATTCTTTTGCTTCTTGTTAAAAGCCGGGGGGGACTCCGCATATGAAAGGGGTGGGGATGCTCGTCGGAAATTTTGAATTAAACCCCTAAAGGAGACCGATCTGGGCGTGGCCCAAGCTTTTTTGACCCCTAAAAGAGACCATGGAGAGAAAAGAGACCATGAAAGAGACCATGAAACTTGGATTATATGAATGGAGTAAATAAAACGATTAAAAATATAAATTTCTAATATATACTTTTATATTTTTTCGCGTGCAACCCTCACGGCTAAATATGATGGCGTTTTTCCCAGAACACCCTAAGTGAGACCAAAATCCGAAATTTACACCCCTAAGGGAGACGACGAGCCTTTCATATGTAGAGTCCACCCCGCGGGGGTCACACACGGTAACCTTTATACACAGCGGCTTCATTTTTCGTTTTCATTTTCCGCGCGCTAAGGCCATGTGATCAAGATTCTCCAATCAGCGTATGGAAACCAGTCTATCTCTTTCGAGCCTTCTTGTACACATGGCGGATGGTGAGCAATGAAGGGAGATTCAACTCTGTGTTCATTCGTTTATTCGAAAAGAAAACACACCTTTCTGGAGAGAAAAAGCACTTAAGAATACCTGACCCCTGACCATTTATGCGGTTGATAGTTTTCGAGGAACAAGCAAGAATTCAATCATCGGAGAGCGATGCACGTGAAGAAGAGTTTCTGGCGTGAAAACACGATGTAAGTTTTAAATCTCAATCTAAATGTCTGATCTGCAAAGGGCAGTACAGCCCATCTTCAGCAGATGTGTCCTGTGCTCGTGCTATGTGCGCTTAAAAACAGTGCAGTGAATTCTTGTGCTGGTGATATAAAAATGAAAAGTGTTCAAATGCTCAATGGGGCCTGGCCTGGGCCCTCAAGGCAAGCTTGAAGGCCTCTGTGTTGGCAGCTTCAATAATTGTTTCGGGAAGTTCGTCCCATTCTTTAACGGATCTGGGAAAAAAGCTATATTCATATGTATCAGTCCTGCAACCAGCATTTATAAATTCAAGTGTGTGGTAATTTCTTGTTTGGCGTTCCTTCTGACTTAAGTACCGTAAAATTCCGAAAATAAGCCCCTCCATGTATAAGCCCCTCCAAATATAAGCCCCGCAAACCGGTTACCCAAAAAACCCTCCGTTAAATCGCCCCTCTAAATATAAGCCCCCCGGGGGCTTGTACTTGGAAATTTGCCCTCAAACACAAAGCAAAACAAAGCAAAAACATAAAATTTGCTTCCAACTATAAGGCTAGCCCAATCGATTTTGAAATGCAAATTCCCTTCCGTAGATAAGCCCCTCCGAATATAAGCCCCTCAAAAAGGGCCTTTGAAAAATATAAGCCCCAGGGCTTATTTTCGGAATTTTACAGTAATTTGGAATCTCTACTGCCAGGGTGCCATTTACGATCTTATACAAGTTTGTTAATCTTGTTTGTTTCCTTCTCTGTTCCAATGATGGCCATTTTAGCTCCTCAAGTAAACTTGTGATGGTACCCGGTGTGCACTAATTGCACTTCTTATCAAAATGAGCCGCTCTGCACTGGACTTTCTCAATTGATTGAATGTTCTTTTGTGTATGCGGGTCCCGCACCGAGCATGCATACTCCAAGTGGAGTCTAACTAAAGAATAATATGCCTGTGTCTTGATCTGTTCAGGGCAGTTATATAGATTTCTTCTCAAGAAGCCGAGGGAAGAGTTCGCTTTCCCTGTAATAGCAGAAATATGTTCATTCCATGTAAATTTGCTATCTAATTCTACACCCAGATACTTGTGCTGTGTGACTGATGTTATGGGCTGTCCCATCATGGTGTAGGTTTAGTTAACCACATTATCTCTGGAGTGAGTGACTCTAAGCAGAAAACACTTGCTGGNTTAAGTACCGTAAAATTCCGAAAATAAGCCCCTCCATGTATAAGCCCCTCCAAATATAAGCCCCGCAAACCGGTTACCCAAAAAACCCTCCGTTAAATCGCCCCTCTAAATATAAGCCCCCCGGGGGCTTGTACTTGGAAATTTGCCCTCAAACACAAAGCAAAACAAAGCAAAAACATAAAATTTGCTTCCAACTATAAGGCTAGCCCAATCGATTTTGAAATGCAAATTCCCTTCCGTAGATAAGCCCCTCCGAATATAAGCCCCTCAAAAAGGGCCTTTGAAAAATATAAGCCCCAGGGCTTATTTTCGGAATTTTACAGTAATTTGGAATCTCTACTGCCAGGGTGCCATTTACGATCTTATACAAGTTTGTTAATCTTGTTTGTTTCCTTCTCTGTTCCAATGATGGCCATTTTAGCTCCTCAAGTAAACTTGTGATGGTACCCGGTGTGCACTAATTGCACTTCTTATCAAAATGAGCCGCTCTGCACTGGACTTTCTCAATTGATTGAATGTTCTTTTGTGTATGCGGGTCCCGCACCGAGCATGCATACTCCAAGTGGAGTCTAACTAAAGAATAATATGCCTGTGTCTTGATCTGTTCAGGGCAGTTATATAGATTTCTTCTCAAGAAGCCGAGGGAAGAGTTCGCTTTCCCTGTAATAGCAGAAATATGTTCATTCCATGTAAATTTGCTATCTAATTCTACACCCAGATACTTGTGCTGTGTGACTGATGTTATGGGCTGTCCCATCATGGTGTAGGTTTAGTTAACCACATTATCTCTGGAGTGAGTGACTCTAAGCAGAAAACACTTGCTGGCATTAAAAGCCATCTGCTCTCTCTCTGACCAGACTACTAATTATTTTGTTGAGGTCACTTTGAAGCACCTCGGCACTGCTAATGTTGTTAACAACCCCATATAGGACACTGTCATCTGCAAACAGACCCATTTCTGAGGTTATTTGGAGACCAATGTCATTAATGTACAGTGAGAACATCAGTGGGCCCAGGAGGGGGCCCCGAGGAACTCCTGAAGTTACAGTCACTGGAGAAGACTGTGAACCATTAACAACAACTGTCTGAGTTCTTCCGAAAAGCCAGGATTCTATCCATTTGATCAGTTGTCCATGGATTCAGTAGTGATCTAATTTCTTGAGGAGACGTTTGTGAGGGACCGTATAAAATGCCTTGGAGAAGTCCAGCAATAATACATCAGTCTGTTTGCCATGGTCTAAGTTTCTGGCTAGGTGTTCGACTATTGTAATTAGCTGGCTTTCACATGAGTGGCCCCGGCGAAATCCATACTGGTAGTTGACAAGTACATGGTGCTCGTCCAAGTGACCCATATTATGATGGAAGATAATACGCTCCAAGATCTTACAGGGCACAGAAGTAAGAGATACTGGCCTGTAGTTGGAGGCTTCTTTCTTGCTGCCTTTTTTAAGCACTGGGGTCACATTGGCACATTTCCAGTCACCTGGGACTTGATCTGTTGTTAATGATTGATTGAATATAAATTGCAGAAACGGGGCAATTTCTTCCCCTGCTTCTTTCATCACCCAGCATGAAATGCCATCAGGACCACTGGCTTTCTTTGTGTTGATATTCTTGAGCAGGGACACAATGCCCTTGGTCTGAAATTCAGGTGGGTCTATATCTGAAACACCACTGCTGTCCATATCTGGGATCGTGTCTACATCCTCGTCTGAGAAGACCGCCTTGAATTGGTTGCTTAGAATTTCTGCTTTAGCTTTGTTATCACTGTTATTTCAGTATTTCCAGAGTTTAAAGAACTAATGCCCAAAATTTCTTTCCAATAGATTGTGAATTCTTCTCATCTGACCAGTCAAGAAGACCTAGTACATAGTCGTTATGTGCTACGAGTAGTCTCCGTTTCCAGGTTTTCCTCAGCTCTTAAATTTCTTCCAATGTTGCGGATTTTGCGTCTGTTTAGCGAGGNTTCTTTGTGTTGATATTCTTGAGCAGGGACACAATGCCCTTGGTCTGAAATTCAGGTGGGTCTATATCTGAAACACCACTGCTGTCCATATCTGGGATCGTGTCTACATCCTCGTCTGAGAAGACCGCCTTGAATTGGTTGCTTAGAATTTCTGCTTTAGCTTTGTTATCACTGTTATTTCAGTATTTCCAGAGTTTAAAGAACTAATGCCCAAAATTTCTTTCCAATAGATTGTGAATTCTTCTCATCTGACCAGTCAAGAAGACCTAGTACATAGTCGTTATGTGCTACGAGTAGTCTCCGTTTCCAGGTTTTCCTCAGCTCTTAAATTTCTTCCAATGTTGCGGATTTTGCGTCTGTTTAGCGAGGCTATAAACTCTTTGTTTTTTTCTCATCAGTCTCCTTAACCCTGGGGTGATCCAAGTTAGGTTCCACCTGCTTCTGATGGTTTTGGTGGGGACATGGGTCTTGATAGCCATATTTTGTTATTGTATTACTGTAAGCTTAAATGGGC